TTTTTCTCAAGTCCAACAATAAGCTTGTCTTTCTGTCCTCACTCAGTTAATGATACATCTAAAGGATGCATGAAGCAAATTCTGGTAGCAGGCAACTCAGCTCCAAGAAGTTACAAGGGTTATTCATCTTTATGAGACCACTGATGTATATAGATAGCAGTTCTTACCTGATACTTACCTATTGTAAATGTGCCCAATTCCGCCCCCCCCCCCAATAGCAAAGATTTAACGGAGATAGGATAATTGAGGTAGTTTGTCATTTAGATGAAATGTTTTAGCAGCTGTTTGGATAGTTCTCGAGTAATGTACATGGAGGCATTAGTTTACTTTGGTTTATGCAAATATTCAATGCAGTGTGATAAACTGCATTTGCTGTTGAAAATTTTGTAATGCGAGATTACATTGAAATACTGTTGCACGTTTCAATTTGTAAAACTCAGCAGTTTTCTATTTCTCTTTATTGGTCACCACAACCCTTTGTATATTTAATTCGGATGATACTAGATTAACAGAGGCTTGAAAGCAAATTGCCTGGGTTTGCGTATACATTTAGTGCCTGCCTGTGGATAAATAGGACCATGAGTCTTTTTCCAGAATTTGCGTGACCTATATCAGTTGTTCCTTGGGTTTAATTGGAATTTTTTGCCATTGTAAGCAGAATTGCATTCAGGCTTTAAATTCAAACTCTTCTGTGCAGCAGCCGGGCACACATGTGTACTTTGTCTCCACAAGAATTGAAATCCAAACGCACTCGTTCAGATTATGCATTGGAAGAGTTTGTGGGTAACTCAAAGGTCATGAGGTCAGCTATGCCAGTGGGGGGGCCCAGATGGGTTTGTCTCTATCCTTTTTTAAGATTTGAGATCACTTTGATGGAACTGACAGTATGAGTGATTTAACCCTTTGAGGAAATAGGAGAAATGTTACTGACTTTTAATGGATAATTACTGGAGGAAATAGTTCTATTCATTTGGATGTCTTTTTGTTTCCTGCTGCCTAAATGGACAAGTCTATAGATTATACAATACTTGCAATTTATAGCACTTAGTTCTTGAGAAAAACAAAGTCTTCACAATGTGTGAGAAATCCCCTTAAGAATCTGTAAAGTAACTCTGCATTTGCAGTAGTTAAATGTTACAACTCTACAGAGATTTTTAAAATACATTTTTAGCTATGTCAAGAGTGCTAGTGAACTTTTGGCTCTTAGGTTGAAGTGCAAAATCTCCCTGAAGGATAAATTTAGATAGACTTTATCAAGGGTGTTTGGACCCTGAAGTATATTTCTCTGATGATATTTCTTTGGGGGCATTACTAAAATTGTTTCTTTTGATGTTGGATTTGGAGAAAAGTTTATAATCTGTTGTGTTCCATTTCTATGGCTTTCAAGGTGGTTTTTAGAATCAAAATAGTTTCCTACATTTGGTAGAAAATATAGATTTGGTTTAATATTTTAATAAAAATATACGGTAGGTTGGTTATCTCTTTAGTAAGTATTTATTAAGCACCTTTATGTAGGTGCTTTCTAAGAACAATGAGCTCTGAGTCTTTCCTTTAAAGACCAATTTCCTAGTTGGCATAACAGATTCATTCATATTAAACTAAGTAGCAGTGCATGACATTATTTGATCATCATATTTGGGGGTGGATTTTATAAGAACTCAGAGAAAGGGGGTACTTGTGTTAAATGGGATGGTAAGGGGACAAGCTGAAATGTGACCTGACAGGATGACTAAAAGGCAGACGGGCAGAGGAGTGCAGATAGGGTGACCCAGCAGGAAGAACTGCAGGGAAAATTTCTTTGAGTTCAAAAGACAGGGATAAGCCTATTCTGGCCTGGGTCCTCCTACTGAGAAGTGTTGAGAATCAGAGAGGAAAGGAGAATGGTTTTAAAATAAAAGGGATTTTATTCCAAGCCTACGAACTTTATTTTATTTTATTTTATTTTATTTTATTTTATTTTATTTTATTTT